TCTCGCTTAAGCTTCCCCTTCCCTTCTCTTGTCTCAATATGAAGTCTTGGTCTTCAGTCCCAATCTGATCGAAGAAAAGAAGTCGGGGGCAAAGACGCTCTCATTTCGTACATTATGTAAAGAGCACTCGCTTTGTATCGTGAGCTTAACCTTAGGCTCCTTTCTCATAACTTAAGGTTGAGCTCGCTTCCCAACAAGCAATCGCTCGAAAGAATGACTTTAGAGAAATTTGGCCGGGCTTTTCAATAAGAATAAGTAAAGCCAAGGTTGGATTGGCAAGCCGGATTCCTTTGGTCTTCTATGCTTAAGACCCCCCGATCAGTCCGGTGGAAAGAGCAGCCAAGCCAGGGATCAAGCTTCAATGATTGATTCCCTTCTTTCGAACAGTTTTCCAACCAAAGCAAAGGCTGACTCGACATTTGAATTGGATTCATTCCCATTACATTGATTAAGTGAAGGAAGGGGTCAGACTTCTTACTTTTTTCTTACTTGGATTAGCTTTCCTTCTTAGTAGAAGGGTGGACATGCCAATCTTCTTCTTGGCTATCTAATGGGAAGGTTCTAAGATAAGAAAGGTTATTTCTAAGGAGGGTCTTGCTCCGAAAACATCGACATAGGAGGTTTTTTCCTATCAATCTATAGAATGATTCACTAAAACAAAAAAAGAATGGAATCCGGATCCTCTTCACTCTCTCCATTCATTTACTCAAATAGGATAGAAAACGGAGCTGCTGTTCGTTTCGTATTCGTAAACAGGTAAAAAAGCTGCACCACTGACCTTCCTCCCGGGATCCCTAGGCTCGTGAGAAAGTATACCTATTGGTTCGAATGCTTCATCTAATTCGTCTTTGGATTCGTATGCCTCTGTTCCGGCTAATCAATGCCTCCGTGACTTCAGATAGTGAAATTGCTTATTAAGGTGACGATGGCAAGATGTTAGTTTCCCATCATTAGATTATATATCTTCAAATCTTTTTACATAAAGAGGCTAGATAGACAGATGCTCCCCGAGCACAAACTTGAGTCAACCGCTCAATCCTAAAAGAATAGGAAGCCTAAGATTGGTCGGTCTTCAAAATTGGTTCAAGGACCCGGGACTCTAGGTCAGAAGATGCCTCCTTATCAGTCGAGTGACATAAAGAACCAGACTATCCATTCCTGGCCCACATAGCTAGCTGTCCGCCCCGATGGCGACCCAACATAGGATTCCTTTCTTCAGGAAGGTTTAGATGGGAAAGACGATGACGGAGACTCGACACGCAGACCTTCACTCACTTTTTTCTATGTGCTTCACTCTAACGTAACGACGTTGATGACAGACTGTCTTTTTTGATTGCATGGAACTTGATGTATGGCTTCTTGCATGTTGGCGAGTTGCCGTCCTTGTAAGTCTTCATTTTCTGATGTAACATTTTGAAATGGTACTGGATTCCCGTCTTATATCCTTCCTAGTTATGGTATTCGATATATCCGGAATGCTTTAGGTAACAAGTCCTGCCAGTCGACAGTGTGGGGGCTTTAGGCTGACTTAAGAGAAGGTGAAAGAGAGATTTCTATACAAAACAGGGGAAAGCCCCTCCCAATTGTCCTGACATATCCGATTTTGATCATTTACAACTTCTGATAAATGAAAAAGATCTTCACTATAATTGAATCCCAGTAGGCAGGTCAGGTTTCCTTTAGGTCAGAATCCTACCGGCTAGTTTGCTTGGTTAACGCCTTCTTATTCCCATCTAGCCTGGAACCTTCCTGGATGTACCTAACAGGGAAAGACTGGTGAGTTTTGAATTCTGCTTTTCCGGACTTATATGTACCTTGGACAAATCTCTTTTCTCTTTAGTGGAATCTGCCTTTCTGGTAGCGCTTAATTTATTGCTTCTTTCTTCTTCTTGCTTTGGATCATTTCTTTTTTTGTCTATAGTGACTCCCGAGTCTTCCTTTTGGGTAAATAACCGTAGGAAGATCCAACTACTCGGACCAGCACTAGCGTTGGTGTGGGAGCTGTAGATGGTTTCTTTCCTTCTCCTCCAGAGCGAAAAAGGTTAGGATACCCCATCCGTATAACCAAATCCTTTCTACATTGAGTTGAATGAATCAGTTCGTGCGAGCGGGTATAGGAGAGTGAGAGTGTACAATCCTAGTCATTATTCTTCTTTATGGTATTCAACGAAGCGAGCTACGTATTGATTAGATTTGACCTCTCTCCATATAAAAGCACTTTTCTCTATTCATTTTGCTGAAACAGAGTAAGGATCCACAGATCTTCTTTCTTTTATTTGAAGTTGAATAATCAGTATGAATAAGAGAATGATTGTCTCACCTATGCTGAATGCTTCAAACATGCCAGTCTTTCGATTGGAATAAGAATCGAATCTTTTTTTCGGTCGAGCTTCTATTCAATTACCTAGATGTTTCTGTCCTTTACTATCCTTTCTTTCCTTGTCTACAAGAGAGAAATTCAAACCCCTGCCATCCCGCCGATGGAAAAGAAGGATGACTTTTCTCTTTATGTCCTTTAAATGAAATGGATATAAAAGATGTCCGACTTCCTGGTAAAGATCTGTGCCACGCCACTTCCTCTGATAAAAGAAAAAGAGAACAAAGACAGTGGCGTAGGATGCGAATTGTCACTCTGAACCGCCCTCGAAGTCTTTCAACCGGCTCCCCTTTCGTAGTATGGGCTACTCTTCTAAGTTCTATTATGGGGGGAAAAGACAACTCTTTTGCTTGCCACGGAAAGTAAAGAATGTAAAGAAGTTCACAAAAATTCAAAGTAATCAAGACCGGCACCTTGCACTCTCTGACCTGTGCGCAATGCTTCTTCAGTTTTTCGTGTCCCGAACCTGACTCGAATACTTCACTCTTGGGCAGATTCCCATGTCAGTGCGCTATTCTCAGCTAAAAGAAGCCATTTTTCTCGAACGAATGAAGATAATGGGAAGTGGAATGAGGAATGTCACTAAATGAATTTGAAAAATCTCTCAAACATCCGCCCATCCTTGTTCCACCTGTACCCGATGGACCACTCCTCTTGTATTGACATGTCTAATGGGTTGCGTTTTAGGCCAACATG